GACTCTAAAAACGAGTTCTCCAAGGCAGCAGACACAGCATTCAGATTCAGGGTCAACTCCTCGGGGAGGGATGACGAAGTGTCCACGTGTCCTGGAGAAAGGCCAAGTCAGGAATACACTTAAAATTGTGGATTTCTCTGCCACAGCATCCAACAGTTCAGCATCGTCTGGGACACATAAGCTTAAGGGTTCCGCAAAGATTTTCTCTATCCTCATTTTTGGAAGATTTTAGCTACAAATAGTGAAAGTGACAGATTTGGCCTTCGTTTTGCCTCTTTTTTGGGATGCATTACCACTTTGAGAAATTTACTAAAAACGAGGGCATTTCTGCCTGTGGAGGATCTTCCAGTAACTCTGTTAACCAAGGACATGGTTAGTACAGTGGAACATGCTCATTAGTTTAAAAGATACTACAGATAGGAAGATAGAAACAGTTGCTAGATCCATGTACACAGTTTATTACAATCCAATATTTTTTAATACCTTGTATAATTCACCCCAGATTCTCTTGGACTGACCCTTTTTATATATTTCTTCCCGTACTTCTTCTCTAAATAAAACAGAAGAAAGAACATTCACAAAAAAGCAATATTAAATAGATTATTTTTTTTTTTTTACTTGCTGTAAAATTGAGGGACACAGGAATTTAGGAATTCTCCAAGTTGGCCATTGAGGGACACAGGAATTCTCTAAGTTGGCCTATGCTGCCACCTACAGGAGGTTGGGACACTAACCTGATGTACTGACCCTTACAGTGACGCTGGAGAACCAACCAGCTATCCACCAAAATAACACTACCAAAAAGATGGAGTAAATCGGACCAAATGTAGAAAGAAGAAAACAAGATTGCTGGGCCCAGAACCAGGAGAGAAAAAAAAAAAAAAGGATATCACTAATGGCAATTACCACACAAAAGACCAGCCAGTCAAAAATGGAGAGAAGGCCCAAGCAGACAGGCAACCAATCTTTTAAAAGGAGAGCAAAGTTGTGAGAGCCCTTAGAACATACCATCTCAAAAGCTAGACAAAAAAGAACTTCTAAAGCCTAGAGTGAACCCCAGGGGAACCAGCCGTGAAGCAATTCTGAAGGGGAGGTATAGCGGGTGAGTAGAAACATTTTTAAAAAAAGAAGAAGAAGAAGAGGTTATAGGCAGGACCGGGTGTACCTCATACACTTTAGTGATGCATAAAACATCCTACCTGAATGATGAACAGATTCTTCCATCCTACATATAAAGTGTTTCCGAAGATAGAAAGAGCATACTGCACAGCAGCCTAACTAGTTGCTCAATACATGATTTTAGGAATCAGCCAACTTGCCTTGAATACTTGTCTCATCTTTTGCTGTGGAACAAGACATTACCATCTCAGACTACTGGCACTCTCCTAAAGAAGGAGTTTCCTCAAAAGGCTGCAGCGCAACTATAAATGACGGACCCAGCTCCTAGTAATCAGGTCACATGGAGGCTTCCAAACACACACCATCCTCCACAGGGAGTACTTGTAGCAGGATCCTAACGCAAACCATCTAGGGGAATACAGAGCCATCCATTGTAGGATAGTTCCAACTAAACAGGAAAGGGGGAGCACACAGGTGTGAAACCCCAACGCTTCAGCTGGCCCGCAAGGTGAAGAATTGACACCAGGATAAGCAGTGTGGGGAAATAGGGACATACTCCACGCCATTCATGGGAAGTTGCCAGACCTTCCCAGAGAAGAATGTCCTGTAGGATCTCAGGTTTCTTGATCTAAAAAGGTATTCACCTGGAAGTCTCGAGTCCAGACAAGTGAACACTGAAAAGGACTGCTGTTTGACTGCCCTCAAGAAAAAAGGAAGCCATGATGATAGAAGGGCAATTCTTAGATACACTAGAAGCTCCAAAAGGTTGAAAAAACACATTTTTGCATAGCTAAAAATGAAAGCAAAGATCCCCGGAAAGGGAATTTTGTAGTAATGGTCTAAGGCAAACTATCTTGGCCTTTGCAAAATCAAAGGCACCAGAGGAATACCAGGAGAGGCCATCTCTAAGCAAGGCCTGCAGCACTAAGTTCCAGCAGAAGGACTTGGATTGCAAGAGTCCACAAAATAGATTATCTTCAAGTGTTTCGCAATGTGGATGCCAAGTAAGGGCACTAGGGTAAACGTCATATCTATTACCTAGAGCAGGTACATCTGTGGGATGCTTAATGGACAGATCCTTAACAATAAAAATAGCCAAAACTGATTGTGACCCAAGGATAGGAAGCTCCCCTTTGGGATGCGAGGGGTGCAAGCTCAAGAAGAAAACCTACTTTAAATTGAAGGTAGCAAAGAACTGGACTGCGGAGAACTTAAACAAGACTGGGCCGATACATCTTTAAGCATAGCTTTATCAGATGAGGGATAGCTGAGAAAATAGTCAATTTCAGAGGTTTAAACTGATAGCAAGCAGGCATTCAAACTCTGGAGTAGTACTTTGCCTAGGGACCCAGCCAGATGAAAAAACAGCCCCCTATTTTATACAGGAGTGCACCTTAATGCAAAAGGCTGAGCCGATGAGTTAGAAAACCTGTGGCTTGGCTGTGGCAAGGATCGGACTGCCAACGACCTACTACTGTAGTGGATGAAGGAGAAGTGTTAAGAGCAGGTCTGAATAGGCAACATCCTTCGAAGAACAACCAAAGTTAGATGTTCCTTGGACATATCTAAACATTCAAAGAAGCAGGGGCCTATCCTGGCAATGACGGGGTCCTCTATAAGTGACATAATCCCAAAGTGGGAAAAACACAACAGGTTAAGAAAAAGCCTAGCAAAAATTATAGGAATATTTTTCCAGCAGAGCAGAAGAGAAAAAAAAAAAAAAAACAACAACAACAACACGGAGCACTAAACCTCCTAGGCAACTAGCAAAAAAACTAAAGCGTACTGGATAAAGGAGGTGCTATACGGTGGCTGGCTTTCAGTGAGGTTCAACCTCCTGTATTTGGCCATATAACCGGATTTGTATTATGAATTGTATTACAAACTGCCCGTGTCCCTCAATGCACAATAACAAAAAAGCAAAACTTTCCTGAAATTTAAACAAGTCACTAAAAAGACACAGCATAAAAAGACAGCATGAAAAATGCATACTAAACTTCAAAGTCAAAAGTTTTGAACCTTCAAATAAGAACAGATCTGGAATTCTACTTACACTGACAAACAAAAGTAATAGAGGATTCATTTTAATGGCTAGCTACAGTGGAAATCATAGGCAGTTTTTTTAAAACACAAGCCTCGAGTTGTTTTCTGGTTTTATACCTGACTCCAGTATCTTCGGTAACCAAGTCTCTGTCTTTCTCCTGGTCATAGCTCTCTGCTGAGGCCTCAGCATTTAAAACAAGCTCATGCATATCACCAGCATTTAGATTCGGCCTTTTTCGTTGAGACTTCGGACCAAATGTTGTTTCGAACCCTTCTGTGTCCAGAATATGAACTTTAGAATTCTGTTAAAACAAAAGAGGTAGTTATAAAGTTAACCTAGACTAACATATTGCACACATAAAAAATTTAATTAACCAATCTGCTTACAATGTATTTCCACTTTTGCAGCCAAATTAGGATAACATCTACTTGTTAATTGTTACATGTTCCCAATCACATAGTAGAACTTTAAACAAAAACATTTAAAGTTGCAGCTTACCTTATGGAGATGCTCTTTCTGGTAATTCTAGGTATGAAAACACCTGCTTAGTTCTCATTGTTTGGGGGTTGGGGGAAGTTTTGTTTCAAATGATTAACCCTGTTTGTACTGTGCTGGCAGATTTAATTCTTACTTGTAAACTAAATGAGGACTGTCTGTCCTAACAAAGGGTTAAAATCACAAAGACACTATGGTAATGAGGAGATGCTCCATCTGCCCTAAGTCTTTCTATTAGGACAGTCAGAGTTTCCTGTAACAAAAACAGAGGAGCTTGCAAAGGCCTGCTAGATAGAGCCATCTAAAAAAGGTAAGAATATTTTCTAAAATTGTTAGATATGCTGTTTGATAGGAACACAAACATGTAGCAGGGCTTTCTCAATTCTGACTGCAAAAGTGGAAATACGCTTTAAATCTATGTCTAGCACCTTTTTCCTGGCTACAATAGCAAAGTGTCAACACCTATGAAAAATGTTCATTGCTGCCTTTCCCTCAATTCCCACCCAGTGGGAAACCTCTCAAAACAGGGACAAAGACAGCAATAAGAACATCTGTTTTGCAGAGTGAGGAAGAGTTATAAACTGTCAGATTGTATTACCTGCATTTCATTTATGGAGATGCTTCTCACTCCTGTCCTGTTGAGCCGTGTCACCAAGCCAACATGTAAGGGAAAATCTCCCCCAACTAGGACCCAGAAAAAAAGTAAAAACCAGCAAGAGGTTTTAAATGCCCCAGGTCCAAAAGGGAACTCTACTCCACCAAAAGCTATAGCAGTGAAAGCCAATTAGTGACATCATGGTTCTGTAATTCAGCCTAGTTATTGGGCTCACACATCTACAGAGAGGAGCTGGAGTTCCAGTCACATGACTGCTTAGTAGATAAAAAAAGGTTTAGGTGCACTTTTAACTGCATGCAAATGTGAGATTTATAGCTATATTGACCTTAAAGTAGAAGCAAAGGATAGAATAATCCATGTTTAAAACATTGCCTACCCTGGGGGTGTGGCCAGCAGCCCAAGTTATCAGACATGTGCGAGAGAGCTCTCGGCATTAATCCTAAACTCATCCTTGGATTTCCACTTACCTCAGTCTGTATTGGACCGGATCCTTGTCTGGAGTCTTCTGCTGCCTCCCGTGCACCCCTTTGTGCTCCATTTGCATGCTTCTGGACACTGATATGACCAAAAAGAAGGATGGCCTGCAGGCAAGCCTCGTGGTTCAAGATGGCGGCGGCTCACTTGGCTCCCTTCAGACTCCCAGTAAACCAGCTCAGGACAAGAGCAAAAGATACTGCGGCACCCCTGGAACGTTTTGCCCAGCAACCAAACACTCCAGCTAAACAACCCCAGATTTCTTCATCCAGAGATCATAGTGCTGCTGGCGATTCAGCCGATGATTGCGGCTCCTATGCGATCACCTCTGCCGTTGACTCCGACAGCCTAGATGATGCCATGGACACTGAGTACTGCTTCCAAAACTGCTAAAAGTCAAACTTTCCAAGTCCAAACCTAAAGCTAGAGAACCTATTATAGATGTCTAATTCTGCTGTACAGCTCTGTAATGCCTCTCTTACATCACTTCCTTACAAGTACAAGGCAGACATTACATTTTTCAGAACATGACCTGCAAAAGGTCAGGTAAAGAGCGTCTGCTCGAAGGTCAAGTAAGTGACCTGGAAGATTCCACATCTCCATTGATGTTGTATGTTAAATTTGCTAAGCACAGGCTTGCTGCAAACTCTCTTAAGACAGACGACATTAAGAATCATCTGAGACTTAATATCTGTGCAGTGGGCATATCGGCGTATGGAAGGAAATAATGCTACTCATTTAATGGAGAACTGGATACTTGGTGTTTGGTAAAGATTCCCTTCATTGTTTGCAGTGGAAAGGGCTCATTTTGTCCCCTCTCGCCCTCTCCCACCGGGGAATCCCCACAGACCTCTCCTGATCAGACTTCTTAATTACCTTGATAAGGAACATACCGTACACAAAGCAAGGGAAAATGGGGGAGATCTCTATGGTGGGTTCTAAAGTCATGCTGTACCTAGAGACTTCTCCCAAGATGTTCAACAGCGATGCACGAAATTCCAAGAAATCAAGAAACGTCTTAAAAAGTTGCATTTTCCCTGCTCCAAGATTTACCATGTGAAGCTCCCAAATCGTCACAGATGGAGATTCAAAGAAGTGTGTTCCTCCCTCCCAAGCATCATCCTGGCTGCAGTATGCTACCCGCCATTCTCGCACCTGGATATTTGCCACTCTGGAGGCTCCCTGTATGGCCTTAGATGCTCCAGTTAGCGATCCACCACACCCGTTATTTAATTCTTTTTTTTTCCCCCTCATTTTGTTCTTGGGACTGGGTGGCTGCTCTCTCTTTTTAAGAATGACTATACCACACCAACATGCTCATTTGCAGATTCTTCCCATAATGTGTCATGTTTGAAGGTATGCCTGGTACTGTTTACCCCTATTTCCATGTTGGCAGTTTTGAATGTTTATTTTTTTGTTTTCTCATTTGATGCAATGTCATGTCTCTTATAGCCACACTATCGGGTACCATAACCATTTTTGCACTTTCACATCCGTATTTTTATTTTTCCATTTTTGGAAATGCTCAACATCTGCTACAGCTAATATCCAGGAATGTGAGAGGGCTCGGTGACCTGTGAAGAGGCGCTCAATCATTGAATATATTTTGCATGCCAAACCATCCATTATTTGTCTACAGGAGACACATATTACCTCCGACACTAGTCATCTGCTTGACAGACATTTCTGTCAGTCCTCCTACCATTCCTTCCACTCCTCGTACTCTCGAGGAGTTTCCATTCTTATACATAGGAATATACCATTCTCCTGTATACAGCTAAAACTGGACAAAGCTGGCAGATACATTTTTCATTGTCGTGTTTTTGAACTTGAATACTCCACCACACTTCTCCAATGACGCCCTTAAAGATCTTGCTTCATTTTTTTTTCCATAGAATTTCCTTTACCTGTATTGGTGATGGGAGATTTCAATAATTGCATGAATCCCCATATGGATACATTTCCTATGCCTATCTCATCTAGTCCCATGTCCCTGATGGCTTTTGGTAAACTATGTGCAGAAATGGGCCTGCTGGATTGCTGGCGTCTGTTGCATCCCTTAGACTTGCAATACACATGCCACTTCAAAACTCATAGCCTATCTTAAAATGTATTAAATTTTGGGCACCGCAGATATTGCCATACTTATCCTTGGTTGTAATTCAATCTAGGCGTCTCTCTGATCATTATTGTCTACTCAACTCTCCTTGGAACCACGCTTCACGTTGTCCTCCATGTTGTACCTTGACTTGTCCCAACATGTTCAACAGCGATGCACGAAATTCCAACATATCAAAAAACCTCTTAAAAAGTTGCATTTCCCCTTCCCAAAATTTACCCTGTGAAGCTCCGAATCGTCGCAGATGGAGATTCAAAGAAGTGTGTTCAACCCTCCCAAGCATCATCCTGGCTGCATAAGTATACTACCTGCCATTCTCGCACCACCTGAATATTGGCTCCCTGTATGGCCTTGGAGATGCTCCAGTTAGCGATCCACCACACCTGTTGAAATCTTTTTTTTTCCCCCTCATTTTGTTTTTAGCAGTGTGGCTGCTCTCTCATTTTATGAATGACTATACCACACCAACGTGCTCTATTGCTGATTCTTCCCATAATGTTGATGTTTGAAGGTATGCCTGGTACTGTTTACACCTGTTTATTTCCCTGTGTTGGCAGTTTTGGAAATTTATTTTTGTGCGTTTGCGTTTTCTCATTTGATGCAATGTCATGTCTCTTATAGCCACACTATCTGGTACCATAATCATTTTTGCATTTTCACATCCGTATTTTTATTTTTCTAGTTTTGGAAATGGCTCAACATCTGCTACAGCTAATATCCTGGAATGCAAGAGGGCTCGGCGACCCTGTGAAGAGGCGCTCAATCTTTGCATGCCAAACCATCCATTATTTGTCTACATGAGACAAATATTACCTCTGACACTAGTCATCTCCTTGACAGACGTTTCGGTCAGTCCTCCTACCATTCCTTCCACTCCTCATACTCTCGAGGAGTTTCCATTCTTATACATAGGAACATACCATTCTCCTGTATACAGGTAAAACTGGACAAAGCTGACAGATATATATTGTATTTCTTCATTGTAGTGTTTTTGAACTTGAATACATTCTTGTTAATATTTACAGTCATGCTCATAAGTTTACATACCCTGGCAGAATTTATGATTTCCTGGCCATTTTTCAGAGAATATGAATGATAACACGAAAACCTGTCACTCAAGGGTAGTGTTCAGCTGAAGCCATTTATTATCAACTGTGTTTACTCTTTTCCAAATCATAAATGACAACAGAAAATACCCAAACGACCCTGATCAAAAGTTTACATACCCTGGTGATTTTGGCCTGATAACATGCACACAGGTTGACACAAAAGGGGTGTGAATGGCTATTAAAGGGAACCATCCTCACCTGTGATCTGTTTGCATGTAATCAGTATGTGTGTATAAAAGGCCAATGAGTTTCTGGCCTCCTGACAGACCCTTGCATCCTCCATCCAGTGCTGCACTGACGTGTCTGGATTCTGAGTCATGGGGAACGCAAAAGAATTGTCAAAGGACCTGCGGGAAAAGGTAGTTGAACTGTATAGAACAGGAAAGGGATATAAAAAGATATCCAAGGAATTGAGAATGCCAATAAGCAGTGTTCAAACTCTAATCAACAAGTGGAACATGAGGGGTTCTGTTGAAACCAAACCACGG